CTTCAGGAGCTTAGCAGAGTTCTTATCTAACTTCCAACATAGTGTGACTTTGCATGGTTTGTAGAGATTTTTTAACCTTATTAAAATAACTGTTTTCAGAGGATTCTTATTTGAGGTGTTATATTTTTGGAGTTCACTAACAGTGTCAATGGCATTTATTTATTGGTGCTTCATATTTGGTTCACCAGGAGTCATACTCTGAAATGGTGTTTATTTTTTAGGGTATGCATGAGGGAGTGCCCTTAGGATCAAACCTTTGAAGAGAGGTAGAAGCAGCAGGGTTGGCCTGGGGAGGGGTCTAGCGGTGATGTAGACCCAGCCCAGCAGTCTCAGCCAACTCAGTGGGAGCTCTGGAGTGAAAAAGGCCTGGCAGAGATGTCTTGAACTGGGCCAACGTTTCCAGTGCTTTTAAACCCGAAATCAATCATTTGACTGTGGGCCGCCCCTAGAAGGATATGACTTTTAGGGGAGAGGGTTCTTTATGGCTGAGACTGAGACAGTCCGACAAGGGGCTGACAGCAAAGACTGCACACCCCGCAGCTGGGGCCATAGATCTTCTTAGTGACTCTCTCAGTGTCACATGGCTCAGAAGTGGTAAGGAGTCTAGGATTTCTGACGCCTACTTAGGAGAGTTTCTGTCTTTCACATGCTGCCTCTCAGCTCATGTGATGACCCAGCGGGACCAGCACCAAGCTTGCCAATATGGTCTCTAGGCCTTGTTCTTGGCAGCAGTGGCTGAGCTATGTGGACTTTATGTGAAAGTAATATTTCTGAAAAACCTCAGGTGGCCTAGGTTTAACAGTAAGTTCTAGGATTGGCTGAGGCAAAGAATTTCTGGCATGAAGTCACTGCTAATTTACCAAGTTCTCTCAGACAATTTATTATAAATCTGAAGGGAGACTGAACTGGCCAGCTTGCTTCCCATTTTTGTTCATTTCCAGGGTGAATACTGAGTTTGGCGTCTCTCTGGCTCTCTTTGCTGCCTGCGTATGTCAGTCTTGATCTAAAAATAGCCTGAATCTTACTAGGTTCAATGTGGGTTGACTAGGGTTCAATTTTTCTGGAACCCTGAGGAGTTTGGAGAGGAGGATGAAGGGCGTCATTAAGAAGAGAAAGAAAAGATTTTATTTGTGGTGAACATGTATGGCTTTGAGCATTACAAAATGAGCAATTGCTTCAGGAAGGCTAGGTTAACATAGAAGAAGTTGTCCATTAACCTTTAAGAAAGCAAGAAATTGCTATTCAGCTGTGTAGACACGGTAGGAGAGAGACAATGATTGATGGCTAAAGAGACAGCATGGAGGTAAAACAAAACACATGGTCCAGCAGTTAAAAGCTCTGGATTCTAGTTTTGACTCTGCTTCTTACTAGAATATACCTTTGGGTCAGAGTCTTCATCTCTCTTGGATTTAGTTTCTCCACATTCAAAATGGGTCTGCTTATGTCAAATTTGCCTTATTCCTTTGATTGTTACAGGGAACAAATGAAACAATGGATGTAAATAAGTGAAGTTCCATATAAAAAAAGATTAATTTCTTAGGCCTCTTCATACAAATTCCAGGGCTTTGGGCAGTTTTTGGGACTCTGATACGTACAAAATATTAGGTGTGCTCTGAATGAAGAGAACAACCTAAACAGGCTTTGTGTGAGCAAGAAGGCTGTTTATTCACCAAGGGGCAGATGGGCTGAGTCTGAAAAGAGTCAGCAGAGGGCGATGGGATAGGAGCTGGTTTTATAGGTTTGGGGAAGGCAGTGGAAAGTTACAGAAGTTACAGTTCAGGGTGGTTTTTGCAAGGGGTGGGTGGGTGTCGGGGAGGGGGGTGCTGTGTGTGTCACAAGGTTCAAGGTCCAGTGTCACAAGTTTGGTTTATCAGTTGAGGCAGAACAATATGGAATGTTGCAAGGTCGGCTAATCAGGCACTGCAGGAGCTAGCTATTCTTCTCCTTCTGTGGTTTTCTTGTTATCTTAGACTTTCTGGCTTCAGGAGGCCATCTGGAGGTGTACGTATGGGTCAGAGGGGTCACCATGGCTTGACTATGGTGTAATTCATGGTGCAGTCAGTTCAAAGAACCTTGCATTCCTGCCTTTTTATATTAATAATATAAAGGTAAAAAAGTAAATACAAAAAGTGGGGGTCAGTAAAATTTTAGGGGCAAGTACAGAGGGGTGATGGGTGATGTTTCTCAGGGCTTCTTTGAGAGGGATTGGGGGTGTCATGGAAACTTAAAAATAGGAGAGATTTTAGATTGCTGAGAGATTTTGGGGCAAGAGGTGATAGTGGGGTTGTTGGAGCATTTGCCATATTGACTGATTGGTTATAGCTTGGATACGATTTTGTAGGAATTGACAGATTAGTCAGAAAAGGCAAGGTCCAAATATGAGAAGGAGAAGGATAGATATAAGGGGCCTGCTAATGGAAGGAGCCATTATACCCAGTTAGAGAGTGGCTAGCTAGGTCCAGAATAATCATTTGCCTGATTAGGGAGCTTTTGGGCCCTGTCTTTAAGTGTTTTGATGGCATCATATACAAGGCCAGATTTGTTTAGATAAAGGCAGCATTTTTCATTTTGGAATAGGCAGAGTCGTCCTTTCTTAGCAGTTAGAAGATTGAAGCCTTGGCGATTTTGGAGGACAACTGTAGCCAGGGAATTAACTTGGGCTTGGAGGACAGATTGTGTCTGAGTTATGTCTATAATGCTGGTGGAGAAATGATTAGAGAGACTGAGAAACATGGTGATGGAAGGAGTAAGGCCTGCTATACCTGTCCCCATTGTGGCAGTGGAGACTCCTCATCCTACAAGCAAGAGGATTAATGGAATGACCTTTTTTTTGTTGCGTAGGAGTTACAAGGGGGACAGGGAAGTGTTGATTTCCACTGGTAAACTGGAATTTGGGAGTAAGGAAAATTAAGGTACAGGTGCCTGTTTAGTTGGCAGGAAGGCAGAGGTAGGTGGAAGAGCTACAGAAGAAAAAAGTTTTTGGCTTAGGCAGAACTGGAAGTGTAAACTGAAAAGGTGAGAAAGTGTTTTGGGGAGGTCTGGGGTCTTGTACCCAGTTACCAAGGGAACTAGCAAGCGCCATGGCTTTTAAAGGTTGTTGTGGGGTTTGATAGGGTAATTGTGTGGAAGGAGAGGTGTTGTTTTAATGGTGTATGCGAAAGCATTTGGAATTTATGAGTAATCATTCACTTGCATTAACAAGGTTAAGTATGAGCCGGCAGGAAGAGAGGTCTGGAGGAGAGTTTGATGAACAAGGGGATGGCAGCCAAGCATGGAGTGAGAGACAGGGTAAATGCCTGCCTAGGCAAAACTTGCTATTGACATTCTTCAGACTGCGAGGCTGGTATGTTCCTATTTCTTGGTTAATGTGGGTAACAGGGCTTTGCTGTGGAGTGTGAAGAAGCACAAAGAGGATGGGAGGTTTTCCAGGGGAATTCCTGCAGGTGATTGTCAGGAAATGCACAGGGGAGTGGTGATAGGGATAGTTGTTTGTGTGGTTAATGGTCCAATAATGTGGGGTGTGGAGTTCATACAGGGTGAGAGGTTATGTAGGTAGGTGCAAAGAAGAGCAGTGGCCTATTAGTATGAAATATCTGGGGCGTTTCTGTTGAGGAGTTCTTCCAGGGAGTACAGGTGGGGGTTGTTGAAGGAAGTCCAGAGGTGTAGAGACAGGAGTGTTTGCCCAGTCCGCTGGTAGGGCAGGGTCGGCTGTGTAGGCGGAAGAGGAGAGGGATTTTAGAGATGCTGGGGAGAGTATAGGGATTTGGCACTACAGGATGGATGGGGAGCACTATCTGATTAAAAGGCGAAGGTTTTGGACTAACCTATGGGACTTGTCCAGTTTTTGGACAGGTAGGATGGGAGTTTTGTAGGGAGAGTTAGTGGGAACTAAAAGGCCATGTTGTAGAAAGTGAGTAATAGCAGGAGTTAGGCCTTTTAAGGCTTGTGCTGGGATGGGGTACTGGCGCTGGGTAGGATAAGGGTAGATTTTAAGGGGATGATGAGTGGTGAGTGAGCAAGGGATGGGGAGGTGGTGTCCTACTGCCTGGGGTTAAGGTAGGGGGACATAAGGGGAGCTATTGAGGGAGGTAGGGCATGGGGGGACGGCAGTAATGAGGTGTGGCTATAGCTCAGGAATAAAGAGGCAGACAATTTTGCTAGGATATCTTGGCCTAACAGGGGAACTAGACAAGTGGGGATGATTAGGAAAGAATGTGGAAAGGAGTGCTGGCCTAATTGACACCAGACTTAGGGAGTTTTGAAAGGCCTGGAGGCCTTGCCATCAATTCCCACAACAGTTATGGAGGCCAAGGAGATAGGTCCTTGAAAAGAAGGGCAGTGCGGAGTGGGAGGCCCCCTTGTTGATTAAGAAGGGGATGGCCTTACCTTCTACCATAAGAGTTACCTGAAGCTCGGCGCCTATGATGGTACAGGGGGCCTCCAAGATGTTTAGGCAGCGTCAGTCTTCAGCTGCCAAGCCACAGCAACGTTGAGTCAGACAGTCCGACTTCCAGTGAGGGCCCACACAGACAGGGCATGGCTTAGGAGGAATCCTGGCCTGCCGGCATTCCTTGGCCCAGTGGCCAGGTTTCTGACATTTGAAGCAAGGTCCGGGACGGGTAGCTGGATGCTGCAGTCTGGGCGCTTTGAAGTCTTTGTGAGCCAGTGGTGTGGCTGGGGTTTTTCATACAGTAGAGGCAAGCATCTGTAGTTCTGAGATGCGCTGTGGCTGGGCAGCTTCTTCCCTGTTGCTGAACACCTTGGAGGTGAGGTTGACTAATTCCTATTGTGGGATTTGAGGGCCATATTTTGATTTCTGTAGCTTTTTAATGTTAGGGGCTGATTGGGTGATAAACTGCATATTAAGTGTTTTTCAGGGGTGACAGTAGAAGTAAGGATGATACTCAAGTTACTCCAGGTGAGATTGTAAGACTGGTTTAAGAATTAAAATTCTCGTATATATTTGGTGGGATCTGATGGACATTTTGTATGTACCACAGAGTCCTCAAAACTGCCCAAAGCCCTGATAAGTGGCTGAAGACTGACGCTGCCCGAACATCTCGGAGGCCCCCTGTACCATCGTGGTTGCTGAGCTTTGGGTAACTCTTACGGTGGAGGGTAAGTCGATTCCCTTCTTAATCAATATGGCACCTTCCACTCCGCACTGTCTTCTTTTCAAGGACCTGTCTCCTTGGCCTCTGTGTTTGTTGGGATTTGACAGACTGATTTATTTTCCTTTGGGTGTATACCCGGTAATGGGACTGCTGGGTCAAACGGTATTTCTGTTTTTAACTCTTTGAGGAATTGCCACCAACAGTGTATAAATATTCCTGTTTTTCCATAACCTCATCAGCAACTGTTATTTTTCGGCTTTTTAGTAATAGCCATTCTGACGGAAATGAGATGGTATCTTATTGTCGTTTTGATTTGTATTTCTCTAATGATCAGTGATACTGAGATCTTTATATGCTTGTTGACCACATTTAAGTCTTCTTTTGAAAAGTGTCTGTTCATGCTCTTTGCCCACTTTTTAATGGGTTGTTTTTTTCTTGTAAATTTAAGTTCCTTATAGATTATGGCTATTAGAATTTTTTCTGATGCATAATTTGTAAAAGCTTTCTCCCATTCTGTAGGTTGTCTATTTACTCTGTTGATAGTTTCCTTTGCTGTACAGAAGCTCTTAAGTTTAATTAGATATTTGTCAATTTTTGCTTTAGTTGCAATTGCTTTTGGTGTCTTCATCACGAAACCTTTGCCCGTTCCTATGTTCAGAATGGTATTGTTTATGTTATCCTCCAGGATTTTTATAGTTTTGGTTTTCATATTTAAGTATTTAATCCATCTTGAGTTGATTTTTATATATGATGTAAGGAAGGGGTTTAGCTTCAATTTTCTGCATATGGCTAGCCAGTTATGTCAGCACGGTTTATTGAATAGGGAGTCCTTTCCTCATTGCTTATTTTTGTCAGCTTTGTCAAAGGTCAGATAGTTGTAGGTGCAGACTTATTTCTGGGCTCTGTATTCTGTTCCATTGGTCTATGTGTCAGTTTTTGTACCAGTACCATGTTGTTTGGTTATGATATTCCTGTAGTATAGTTTAATGTCAGGTAGTGTGATGACTTCAGTTTTGCTCTCTTTGGTTAGGGTTGCCTTGGCTATTTGGGCTCATTGTTGGTTCCACATGAATTTTAAAATAGTTTTTTTTTTCTGATTCTGTGAAGAATGTCATTGGTAGTCTAATATGAATAGTAATGAATCTATAAATTGCTTTGAACAGTATCGCCGTTTTAATGATATTAATTTTTCCTATTCATGAGCATGGAATGCTTTTCCATTTGGTTGTGTCATCTCTGATTTCTTTCAGCAGCGTTTTGAAATTTTCATTTCAAAGATCATTCACCTCCCTAGTTAGCTGTAATCCAAAGTATTTTATTCTTTTTGTTGCAGTTGTGAATGGGATTACATTCCTCATCAAGCTCTTGGCTTGACTGCTGTTGTGGTATAGGAATGCTAGTGATTTGTGTACATTGATTTTGTATCCTAACAATTTGCTGAAGTTGTTTATTAGCTTAAGGAGGTTTTGGTTTCAGACTACGGGGTTTTGTAGATATATGTTTGTGCAGTCTGTAAACAGGGATTGTTTGACTTCCTCTTTTCCTATTTGCATGCCTTTTATTTCTTTCTCTTGCCTGATTGTTCCAGCCACGACTTCCAGTAGCATATTGAATAGGAGAGGGCATCCTTGTCTTGTGCCAGTTATCAAGGCAAACGCTTCCAGCTTTTGCCCATTCAGTTTGATGTTGGCTGTGCGTTTGTCATAGGTGGCTCTGATTATTTTGTGGTATGTTTGAAGGAATGTAATAGTACATTTTTTTTCTTCTATTGGAGAAACAATTTAAAGTATTTGTATATTACTTTGGATGGTAGGACTTTTTGTAAAGGATTAGATTGTATATAATGACTCAAACAAAATAACATAATTTAGTGATTATGTTAAATATGGTGTATGTGTCATTTGGTGATTATATTAGGTACTCTGTCATAATCATGATTATAACATAATTTAGTGATTTTATTAGGTACTTATTTCTTCATCTCTACTTATGCTATGGGTAGAAATGAAGACATATTGCAAAGTTAGACAAAGCTCTGGAAAACATTTTCTCTTAATTTGTATTTTCTATGTTCCATATTTACTGGTATTAAATACTGCTTTAATTGGTAAGAATCGTTTTAAAGATAACCGGGACACAGAATTGATTAATGACTTATTAGCATTGTGAGAACTGGAGACAAAACAGAATGTTCTGGATCCTCAGCCACATTATCATGCCTATTTTAAGGACTGAATACCACGTGTGTTCAAATAGGCATGTGCCTAATAACCGTGTTGAGATTATTGTGGGATTTCTAGAGTTAAAGACTAACTTCTTTACTTTTTACCACCTTTCTGCTTAGCTATTTAGTGAGAGCATAGCTGATTTCTAGTTCCCTTGAAGTAGATAGTTCTAAGTCTGCTGTTCCACTCTTAGTTTTCCTTTCCTGTTCTATGAACTTGTACATAGGTTTTAAATTATCTGTGTTGCAAGCTCTCTGTGCCAAAGGAAACCATCTTTGCTATAAATGCCTGAAGATTGACTGTATTCTCCCTTTGTTCTAGCTTTTGTTTCTATTATTACAATTAGTACAGGCTACCTAATAAAAAAGGGGGCACTTAACTATTTTCTAAAGCCTTATTAAGACCTTCTGCATGTATTATCTAATTTAATATACACAAAAATCTTATGAGGTAAGTGTTGCCATTTCCATTTTGTAAAGGAGAAAATGAGCTAAGAAAGATCTTATTTGGAAAACCGTATTATTAGTATTCATTCATTCACCAAATATTTATTGAGCTCAGTTTAAGACACTGAGTTTATGGTTGCCAGAAAGAGGTTCTTACCTTTATGAACCTTATATTCTAGTGGAATCTACATCACAGAACCTTTGACTTTAACACTGACATGTAATTGAGCAACCCATACTGTAAAATCCTTGAAAGTAGAGACGATATCCATGGACTATATCAATTCAATTACTGAATTGAATGAAATCCTGGCAATTATGATTTATTCTTATCTGCCACCTGCTGTTTCCTCCTTACTGGATGTTTGAAAAGGTGCATAAATATGCATGGGTAGAATAGATGGATAGCCCCTCCTAAGCTGATTTTCCCCAGTGACTTTTCTTCTCCCCAAATTCCCATCAAGGGTTATTTAGCTGAAGGTTCTCTATTTTCTGGTTCCCCTAGTAAGTGTCAAAAACAGTATGATATAAGAAACCCATAATCTAGGAACTTGTCATTGATATTTCAGCACAAGTGAATTCATTGATAAGTAGCAGTGGCTGTTTTCACTAGAGAGGCACAAGTTGAAGTATACCCCAAGAAAGTAAAATTTCAGATACTTTGTTCTGGCTGAGGCTATTTTTTCTACAAGGCAACTGAGTATGGTCTAAGTAATTAGGGCAAATCACCAGGCCTAGGGCAGGGGGGTGGAGATATACGTGAAGGCAAAGACAAAGTACTAAGGAGCTTTTGGTGATATAGGGAAAGTAAGTGTGTCTACATGTGTGGGTATGTGTGTGTCACAGTTTTGCCTGAAGCACGACTCATATCTGAGAGTTGCCATTTGTAACTACTGAGAAAACAACACCTCATTTAAGCTTTGTTTCTCTTTGGATTTGGCTGTTAAAAGACTGCACAATTTATGTGGTGCTTTCATTTCATGGGATACGATTGTAGTTACTGTGTTAGGTTGGGTCAACAATGTGTTAGACCAGTACTGTATATTATTCCTTACCTGAATACAGTCATGTATTTTCATAAAAGTAGCTACCTCTCCATTGTGCCCATCTTTCACCTAAAGAGGAATTAAGGGAAGAAATGAAGCAAATACTGTTTTTATGGATGTTTTTGCTTCATTTAAGCTGCCAGAGTAGTTTTGTGGTCCTAATTTAAAACCTGTTATAGTCTAGAGAAGGGCTACTTAGAGGTGGAAAGTAAGAGTTTTACATGGCTAGCTAAATGAGAATGTGATTCTCAATGATTGTTGAAACAATACTGAGGACAATAAGGAGTGTAATAGTTTTGACAAGCAGCCTGCAAATCAAATTCAAGGGGAGAAAAGATTTCTCGTTTTCTTCTTTTTGGAGTCAGCAGGATTTCCAGCTGCATGTAATTTCAGGAAGTGATGTGACTATTTATTCAATAATGCCTTGCAAATTTCCTGGGAAATGATGGAATAATTCTGATGACATTAAAGTGGCTATTGAAATAGGAAATGTTATACTATTTGCCAACTGTTATTTCTTGTCTATTTAATCATATTAATTCATTTCATAATGAAAGTAAACTCTTAGTAAATACTTTCCATAGACATTTTCTAGGACTGAAAATACATTATTGAAATCCAGATCACCAAAGCCAACCAAATTAAATAAATAAACAGTGAATGCCTCCTGTGGTGCCATGCATGATGCTAGGTATTGGGAAAACAAAAAGTCACTTTACATTTTTTTTTTTTTTCTGAACTCATGGAGCTTAATGACTGGCGGTAGAGACAGGCATTGAAGCAATGGGGCACTCAGACACGTGTAAAATGACAACATTGGGAAGTGCTATGTAGCGAAGGTGCATGGTGCTACAACGGCATCTGGCATTCATGAAAGGCTTCTCATGTATGTGGTGTTAAAGCTGAGACCTAAAGGATGAATAGAAATTGCATAGGTAAAGAGTAAGAACAAGAGTCCTTACGGATGGCATGTAGCGTCTTAAAAATTTCATGGTGGAGGGTAGCAGTACACAGTGGGGTGCCCGGTACAAAAATAGGCTGGTGAATCAAGGGCTAAACCCTGAGGCTTGTAGACCAGGTGAAAATCTTGTTGTCTATTTTAAGAATAATGAAATGATTTTAATAGCAGGGGTGAGGGTGGATGAAAGGTGATGCAACCATGTCTCTGCTTTGGAAATATTACTCTGGATGCAACATGGAGGATGGATGATAGAGGGTCCCACGTGTGGGTGGCAAAGCAGTTGGGAGGCTCCTATAGATGTCCAGATGAGAAGGAATGTTAGCGAAGACTATGGATGTGGACATGCTTTATGGTTGGTTTAAAACAAATTTACAATACTTTCATCCCAGGTTCGCATCTATGTTCACTCACACGTACACACATGAGCTGATGGTTTGTGAGATGTTTGAGAACCTGTTTCTCAGGATCCAGTCCTTGATTGTCTTTTCTTGTGTACATCAGGGAAGCCAAATGCATTTTTATCTCAAGTGCCTACCCTGGTTGGTTGGTAGAAGATCCTGGGAGAGCAATACTGAGAAGGCTTCTGCAGTGACATAACAGCTTAGCAATAGAGAGCACTTTAATAGCTCCTTCCGTGAGCACAGAGTTGGGAGTGGCGGCATGCATGCCTTTTCAGAGCCTTTACAGCTCACTTCCCCATGGCAGACTTACCATTTTTCTCCAATGTATAGGAGTAGTGCTTGTCCCAGCCCTCACAACCATTTTCGTAGACACTCTGCCTCTACTCCCTATGATTTTCTGGGATTTTGAAGTGCAACATTTTGGGACAGATTCATTCTTCCTCTGAATGCACTCAACTCTCTTAGACCCTTAACTACCATCTCTCCACTTGCTTTCTATCTTCTAAAACTTTGTAAACATCTCTCATTTTCTGTTATATCCATTGTATTCTTATTGTCCTGTGGATCACTATGCTTTTATTAATCTCTTTTGGTCCATTTATATTTTCAGGGTTTCATTTATTCAGTTTTCTGTTTGTTCAGTCTACCATGTTTAATCAAAACTTGTGCCATGGTTTTCCACTTATGCTCTTTGGTATATACTTATTTAACTGAAGAAATAGGCAACCATCAGAGAATATCAGTGAACAATTCACAATCTCCGTTAGAGCAAATGACTGGGTATTGACATATTTTGGCTGTGTTCCCATCCAAATCTCATCCTGAAAACCACTGCCATGATTCAGTTATTTCCCAACAGCTCCCTCACACAACACATGAGAATTATGGAAGCTGAGATTCCACAGTCATGGGGGTGGTTTTCCTCATACTGTTTTCATGGTAGTGAATAAGTCCAATGAGATCTGATAGTTTTATCAGGGGAAACCCCCTTCACTTTGTTCTTGTCTTGTCTTCTTTTCTGCTGCCGTGTAAGACATGCCTTTTACCTTCTTGCATGATTGTGAGGACTTCTCAGCCGTGTGAAACTGTGAGTCCATTCAACCTCCTTTTCTTTATTTACCCAGTCTTGGGTTTGTCTTTATCAGCAGTGTGAGAAGGGAGTAATACAGGTATGATTAAAATATTTTGCGCTTTGGTGTGCCTTTCCAGTTCCATCACTCCCCACACCTCCATAAGCACATTCTCATTTCACGCACCAATTATACCTTCAGTTCACTGTCTTGACATAGTTTTCTAAGGTCTGTTTATTGTTGGTTATGTTCTCTGAGCTTCAAATTCCCTTCACTCTAGCTAAATTCTTCGTACTGTTTGAAATCTGGTTTAAGTGCCCTTTATTTTGAAACCTAACTCCAAGTTATGATTCATATACTCTCTATCACTCATCTGAATACCTCCTTTGGATTCATAATGTCTTTTGCTTTCTTGACTATAACATTTATGACCATATCGGGACATTTGACTCTCTTGTTTGGTTTATAAAGTAGACTGAACCCCTGGATGGCAGGCTCAGGATTTATTTGTACAGTATTTCCGTGACCTGTGTCACAAAGTAGGCACTTGATACCTGCTTGTGGAATTAATGGTGCTGTGGGACTCCACTCCTAGAAGTGATCTGTTTTCATCACTTTAGTCTGTTTTACTAAGGTGCTGTCTTCATAGTTGCACTTTATGGGCTCTCATTAGTAGGAAATTAACGCACAGAACACGTATGCAGAACATGAGGTTACCAAGGGTCCAGTGCATGTTATTGATTTGGCCACAGGGAAGTTTATGAGCCTTGTGAGCACAATTTAGAAATTCTCAACTGCATATACTGCAGGTGAAGTACGTTTTATGTTGAAGCACATGGTTAATTATTGAGATTTGGCTGACTATTAAAGCAATAGCCTCTTGTTCAATCTGTGCTGATGATGCAAATGGAAAACACAGCTAAAAATATCACTTATGTCTGAAAAAGCCAGTCCAAAAAATAAGAAGCAATTAGCTTGAACAGCTGGAAGCAGATTTTGCCAGGATCTGTATTTACCAATATTTGAGTACAATTGGTTCACAATTTTGTACTTGGGGTAATAGCATCACTCAAGTCCCAGAGGAGGAAAATTTCTTGATGCTAGATATTTTTCTAAACATTCCCCTTCTTCCTTCCCTCTCCTTCAATCATACACTTAGAAGTCTATGATATATAATGTCAAATAATCTTAAGGACCTGGGAGGAAAAATAGGGAGATAATACAGTAAATCAAAGAAAGCAGTCTCTGGGCCTAGGTTGTCTATGTTTGAGTCCCAAATTCAATGTTACTCTGTGTCCTTGGAGAAGTTACTTACCCTCTATGTATCTCATTTTAAAATGGGCTTACAAAGATATATTTCAGTATTGTTGTAGGATTAAATGACATACTTGTAAATTTCTTAGAGAAAGACTTGGTATGTCATAATTCTATTATTCATTTATAGTTCTGAGGTCAAATACCAGTTTTGACTTCTTTTGTAGTGATGAAAAATAGTCATTCCCACCTACCTTGTACAATGAAAGTCACACTGTCCTAAAATTCACACCAGAAACATAGAGTTAGTGCCAAGATCCTCTTGTGCCCTTTAATTAATGCTTCTTAATATTTGTCATCTCTACTTCCATTCTAAAATCCAACTTGTAGCTTTCATTTAAAAAAGGGAGTGTCTACGGCCAATGAAGGAGTATATCCTTTCATTCCTATTCTGCTTAGTTTCTGTGTCAGTTGATTTTTTCCCTAGATTGTACTCTATCAATTTGAATGTATAGCAACATCAAACAAAAAATCAGAAGTAATTAGGTTTGTCAGTCCACAAGAATTTTGGACCCAATATCCATGAAGTGGTAGGTAGATTATAATACCTAATACAGAGTATCAGAATGAGTTCTTACAGTCTCACACGTACTATCAATGTGGTATGAGATGCCACTGGCCTGAGCTAACGTATTACTTTTCATATGGATGAAGGCTGTTCAAGGACTTGAGAATTTTTCTTAATTAGTATAACCCCTGCTTCCATTTTCCTTTTACTGCACTTGGCTCACTGATGCCTCCTTTCATGTTGTGTGAAAAAGCAAATTTCAGTCTTGTCTTGATGAATTATAAATTCCAAGAGTTGAGAGCACAAATTAGTACATATGTATGCTTCTGCACATGCATACCTATGCTTATAAAAAGTGACAACTGGCTAGTTGTCTTGCTTACACCTGTAATCTTAGCACTTTGGGAGGCTGAGGTGGGCAGATCACTTGAGATCAGGAGTTTGAAATCAGCATGGCCAACATGGTGAAACCCCATCTCTACTAAAAATAGAAAAATTAGCCAGGTGTGGTGGCACATGCCTGTAGTCCCAGCTACTCAGGACACCAAGACATGAGAATTGTCTGAACCCAGGGAACTCAAGTTGCAGTGAGCCTAGATTTTGCACTCCAGCCTGGGCAACACAGTGAGACTCCATCTTAAAAAAAAAAAAAAAAATTGAAAACCTGTGGAGACTTCTGTTTATAAATGAAAATGTTAAAGTGTTAAAAAAAATTACATACCATTCAAAAAGTAAACTACTAAAGCTAATATTCCATAGAAAACTAAATGGATATCAGATAGACTTGTAGAATCTATAATAATAGGTAGACCCCCTGAACAAACACTTTAACAGGATAAGTCTATTAGGGGAAATGTAATAAAATTTCCCTATGGGAACTTTTCTCTGAATGAAAGCATCAGGTCTATTAAGAAATAAAAAGGAAAGTTTATATATCTAAGACTTTTAAAACTCTGAGAATATTTTAGACCATAGCTATCAACACAGAGACTGTTGGACAGAAAAATACCTTATACTGCAGAAAGAAGTGGCTTAGAGATAGAGGGTAAATAGTAGAGAGAAACAGATACTTTAGATAATTCGTAGTGTGGTATGCTTAGATTTAAAGGGAGGGAAATGAAAGGGTGTACATATCCAGAAGAAAAGAAAGGTAGTGTCTCTTTCCAAAGCTGACTCAGTGCTTATGAGCTAAGTGTTTCACAGTTGGAAAAGTAGGAGGGCAAGCTGCTAAGAGAGCTAGGAACTACTCATGCATTGTCTGAATTCCTGCAGGGTGGAAAGTGGAACACTCCAAGGGTATTGCTCTGTGGTCATTAGGAGGGTTTGGAGTCAGACAACCTTGAGGGGAAGTCACCGTCCATAGTCTGTAGCCATTGGAAGTGTGTCAGTGCTCCCAACAATAAATCCACCTTAGCTCATCTATGCAGCAACTATAATAGCATGCTGCTGGTACAAAAAGAGGCACATAGACCAGTGGAACATAATAGAGAGCACAGAAATAAGGCCATACACCTATGACCATCTGATCTTCAACAAAGTTGACAAAAACAAGCAATGGGGAAAAGACTCCCTAGTCCGTAAATGGTGCTGGGATAACTGGCTAGCCATATGCAGAAGATGGAAGCTGGACCCCCTCGTTAAACCATATACAAAATCAACTCAAGATGGATGAAAGACTTAAATGTAAAACCTAAAACTATAAAAACCCTGGGAGACAACCCAGGCAAGCCATATGCAGAAGATGGAAGCTGGACCCTTTCCTTACACCATATACAAAATGAACTCAAGATGAATTAAAGGCTTAAATGTAAAACCTAAAACTATAAAAACACTGGGAGGCCATCTAGGCAATACCATGCTGGACATAGAAACAGGCAAAGATTCCGTAACAAAAATGCCAAAAGCACTGGTAACAAAAGCAAAAAGTGAAAAATGGGATCTAGTCAAACTTAAGAGCTTCTGTACAGCAAAGGAAACTATCATATTTACCCAGCAGGGGAGATACTATGATGACAAGGGTGGATTTCCCTGGGTGAGGCTTATCTATTGTACCCTGGGTGTGCTGACCCCTGCAGTTTTCCCAAATGTGAGAAACTTGACTGCATAATTTGTGGTAGGAGGGTGATTGCGTTTGCTGCAGCTGCACCTGGGAGGGCGGGGCTTCTGCCTGCTCCATGGAGTGGGAGGTCTGGATCTGTAGCCATGACTTGGGAGGCTGCAGCTGAGCCCAGAAGGGTGGGCCTCCTCCCTGCTACTGGATCTGAGAGCACATGGTCCATAACCATGGCTTGGGTGGCTGCAGTGTACCTGGGGAGCTCCCACCCCAACTCAGAAAGGGCGAGGCTCCCTCTTGTCTCTGGCTCCCAGTGGCTGTGTGTGCAGCCCCAACCATGCTTCCCTTATGTAGCTGGTGTGATGGCAGCTGCCACTCCAGACAGCCCACTGCTGCCATCACCATTACTGGGTATACACCCAAAGGAATATAAATCCTTCTATCACAAAGATACATGCATGCAAATGTTCATTTTAGCACTGTTCACAATAGCAAAGTTATGGAATCAACTTGAATGCTCACTGGTGACAGATTGGATACAGAAAATGTGGTATATATATACTACGGAATACTATGCAGCCAGCAGCCATAAAAAATAACAAATTCATGTCTTTTGTGGGAACATGGATGGAGCTGGAGGCTATTACCCTTAGCAAAGTAATGCAGGAATAGAAAACCAAATATCGTATGTTCTCACAAGAAGGATGCTGGATTGCCGCAAACATGACAAATATTCACAAGACCCCCACAGAGTGGGAGTTATGTGACATAAAGGGAGGAAATGATAGCTTTGTATACCAGTTGCTAAATAACGTGAACCCATGAACACAAAGAAGAGAACAGCAGACGCTGGGGCCTATTTGAATGGGGAAGGTGGGAGGAGGGAGGGGAGCAGAAAAAATAACTATTGGGTACTAGGCTTATTACCTTGGTGATGAAATACTCTGTACAACAACAACAAAAAAAAAAAAAAAGAAAAAAAGGAAATACTCTGTACAACAAAACCCTTCTAACATGAATTTACTTGTATAACAAACCTGTACATGCAACCCTGAACCTAAAATGAAAGTCAAAAAACGTCTTTATTGTAAAAAAGAAAATAAAATTAAAAATAGATACATATTTGGCATCAAAGAATTGCCAATAGATTTAGAGTATCTGGCTCAGCCACTACAAAACCAGAAATGGTGCCCAAGCCAGACCTTTGTGGCCACTCCAGCAAAGACACCCATGCTCCTGCCACTTAGCACAGACATTGTGTTTTGTTCTAGACACTGCAGCTTCCACTGGTAGTACTGAGGCCTGGAATGCAAAATTCTGGGGCTGCTGATCTTGAAAAGCCAGATACTTCTGTTGCTGTGCTCAGTGAAAGAGACTACATGTGCTTCGTTCGTAACATCACTGACTTTCAGACCGAAGTCCTGGGTGTGGGTGCATTACATAGTTTCATACAGCTGCAAACAAGACTGGGGTTCTGTTTTCTTCATTGAAGGGACAGGAACGAGAATGTGCAAAATTGTTGCAACATAAGGAGAGTGTTTGAAAGATGCTGGATTGCCTCAAACATGACAAATATTCACAAGATCGCCCCCGCCCCCCACAAAGTGATAGTTATATGGCATAAAGGGAGGGTATGATAGTTTTGTATACCAGTCATTTAATTAATGCTATTTCATGTTAGTTAAATATAATACAGTACCATAATACGAATGTCTGTTCTGTATTTTACGTTATGTGAAGAAATACTGAGAGTAAAAGGAGAATCAAGGCTAGAAAAATGGTTGGACTGGCTAGGCATGGTGGCTAACACCTGTAATCCCAGCACTTTGGGAGGCTGAGGCAGGTGGATTATGAGGTCAGGAGTTGGAGACCAGCCTGGCCAAGATGGTGAAACTCTGTCTCTGTTAAAAATATGAAAAAAAAAAAATTAGCCAGATATAGTGGCCAGTGCCTGTAATCCCAGCTACTTGGGAGGCTGAGACAGGAGAATCACGTGAACCTGGGAGGTGGAGGTTCAGTGAGCCGAGATCGAGACATTGCACTCTAGCCTGGGTGACAGAGCAAGACTCTGTCTCAAAAAAAAAAAAGAAAAAAAAAAAAAAAAAAAAA